AGAGATCTTTTCCAAACTTAATGACTCTGTGAAAGAGAAGCTTGAGTCAAGCAATCCTCAATTCATCTTCAGAAGCATTCACAATCCATCAGTTGTCATCACGGCGATCTTTCTTAGAAGGCATCTGCCCCTGAAAATTCCCTGTTTACCATCAACACTTTCAAAGTCTTTCTCTCTTCTGTGTCATTTTCAAGGAAACTAACCTGCTGAAGAAACCCCCGAAAGCAATGGTGACTATCTTGCTTCCACGTCCAAAGGAAAGCTTTGCCTGGGGGAAGATGGAAGAGAGGAGGACGGTGCGGGTGGAGAGAACGTAGCTACAATTCTTCAATCTTTTCATATCTAAAGAGGACAGCAATCTCTGTTCTATCAGACCGCGTGGTTCGTGCTTTAAATGGTACTTGCTACTAGCTTGCGTTCCCTGTCGCTGTCTCCCTCCTTTTGAAGCAGACTGGACAGCTTCCTCAAGCTGGCGTTATCACTCCCTCTAACCACTCTTGGCAGGCAATCTAATTCCCCCTGAAAAGGTCACCGCCATTTTAACTGCCTTTCAATCACATTAAGCACGCTGCCGCTCGTGCTCAGAGCGCTGCGCCTGCAGCTCTCCTGACTGAGGTGCGATCGATAAACTGACATCCTGTCCCCCCGCCAGCCCCAGCCGCTCCCTCCCGGACAGCCCCTTCCAGAGAGAGCGGCCGGAGACGGAGTGGGAAGAACCCCTCGTCGAGCACGAGGCAGCAGGAGGGAGCTGCTAACCTGGTGTTTACTCATCTACTTTGTCCCATCTGCTGGGGAACAGAAGGGTGCAAGCATCCCCTGCTCCCAGCCCTGCAGAGGCACGACTTCGCAGGACAGTTTGCTCAGGCACCGGCCCAGACACCTTTGAAGCTGTGTTACAAAGCACAAGCCTCCCTCAAGCCTCCCTCAATGCAATCATTACCGTTATCTCTCCCCCCGTGCTTCTTTTTTTTTTTTTTCAGTTACGAGTTATATGTTCCACCCATCGATCCCTGTGTAAGACACTGTTTTAAGTCCTCTTGCCTTTTGACTGTGCTAAGCCGTTTAAGAGATGACAGCAGCTTCTATCAGCGCGAAGCTGATGTGATTCTTTTCAGATAAAGCACTTTTTTTCACTCCCCCCCTCCTTTTTCCTTCTTTCAAGTAAGAGACATACACACAAAAAGAGACAGTGAATCTTTCAAAGAAAAAAACCCTTTTGAACTTCCCTCAGGAAATCTTTAAAGGGATAACCTTACAGTGTAAACACTGAGGGTAACGTGCATCCATTCTGGAGAGGAACAGAAGAATTGATACAAATACGTTGAGTGGTAGAAAAAAAAACAACTAAAAAACATCAGAGAGGAAGCCACTTGATGCTTTCACTTGTGAAGCCTCGTTGGCTTCCCAAACAGAGAAACTCATTAGACAAAGATTGCATGAAATAATCTCCTGTAACAAAGACCATCAGAAAGGGATGATCCAGGGACATGGGGACAGATGGTTCAGGAATTTCAAAAGAAATTTCAGTCTTGTGACAGTTGTGAGATAGGGAAATATTTTATTAATTCCTCTCTATGGCTTTACATTTTGAAGCAAGAGCTTGATTAAAATAGCAGTAGGTATTTCATGCTGGTAGCCTTCTGCAGTCATCTTCAACTATGAATTCCTGCTCCAAACAGAAGCTCTGCTGAAACAAAACCATTCCAAATCCTATCTAACTGCCAACAATCTTCATTTATACCCTGCACGGATCCAGTCTGAGATAAGCACATGAAGCAATAGCAGACGATGTTTTGGGAAGGCAGGAGAACCCCTAGAAGTACTAAATAACTCCTGACTGAATGCCTTCACCAAGCCCAACTGCTTAAGAGACAGCATACTAATCTCAGCACTTCTCACCTAGGCTGTATTCCTAGTTGCTACTATCTCCTTTTCTTTCCAACTGCTTTGTCAAGTACGCTGAACCATGGCAAGCAAGGAGTACTTCAGCTCTGCTGGACTTCTTAAGACAGCCCCTAAGGTGAGAGGAGCAAATCTTCCCTGCCATAGCTTTGGGATCAAGAAAACTTCATCCTGGGAACCACACAAGTGAGGCTTTCAGCCTGTGATTGCTCTCAAGTATTAAATCATCTTCCAGAAAATCTGAGCTGGGCTGCTACTGTCCCTGACCTGCTTTCAAGGAAAAAAAAAAAAAAAAAAAAAAAAAGTCCCAGCCTTCCCTCGCCTGAAAAAACTGACAAGATCTTTCAGCAAAGCTCTACTGACCTTGAGAGACACATAAACATGCCCATTAACCAAAGATGATAAGAATAGGCAGCCAGGAACCTGTGCTAAGTTTGAGCTGCTTCTGTAACGCTGCCCACCGTCTGAGCCAACTCGTGCAATACGTGCTGGCCACAGCATCCTGCTCCACTCACCGCCCAGCTGTGACATCTCCTCCCAGCAACACACTATTAAAACCAAAACTGATGAGACACATGGATGTCTATTCTCCCCTCTGGTTTTATATATTTCCCCATGTCAACTCTTCAGACATCCCTGACATCCCTGCAGCCTGGCAAAAGCTGTCTGGCATTATAAAAGGCCTTTGATTTCCACATCGCTGCTACTTTTTAGCAAAGGGAACAGAGCCAAACATGAAGCCTCGGGTGACAAGGGTTAATGAGGGCCTTACCAACTCCAGACAAAGCACGTTTAAGCACTGGAGAGCATCTCTAGAACACCGTGTTGTGCTTCAAGGCTGTACAATAGGGACTCTGTCCCTAGAACAAGGGAAGAACCAACATTGGCTGAGAAAGGAAAAGGAGAGTCAGCTTTACCTGAGAGTGCACAAAGCAGGTCTGACCAACAAAGACCAGAGAAAACAGGAGAATCACTAAAGACAGCATGGAAAAGTATAACTTCCTTAAAAAGAAATTCAATCAGCTAACAAGGGGAGCTTTCCAGCTTTGCTTTGACTTCCCACATTTTATGGAAGACTCCTGAATAGGGTATGCAGGTACCCTGCAGACATCATCTAGCCATCCCAAAACATTAGGCAGAAAGTTGGTTTTAAATAGTATCCTGCCTATAGCATAGCATCCTGCACCAAGAGCAGGAGTCAACTAGAAGTCCTTCCCATCAGGGCAATTACAGAGGGTTTACCCATGCTCACCTCTTCCAGTTTGCTGGTACTTTACTGGATCGGTTCACACAGCTAAACGCTGTTGACAGTGTCATGCAGATCTCGGTAAGGAAAGAAGAGACAGACCTCATAATTCTCAATGGAAGCAAGGCTACTTCTGTACATCAGATTCAGAGATTCACATACAGCCAGCTAGAAGAGAACGTTGCAGCCATGACTGCTGTTACGATCTATTTAATCTTCGATGGTGAAGGAAAGTAGTTGATTTATTTAATGCAAACTAACACACTTGAGAATTCCAGTTTAAATAAAAAGTATCAGGGTGTAAACCCTCTGCATTTATACAGCCTAACCCTATCAATTACACACACTTTGTCAACCTGGAGCCTTGTATGAAGAACACCCTGACTGAAGCTGTATGAAAACTTCAGTCCATACCTCAGTGAATTAATTCAGACACCACTGGAAATAGATCCAGGTGAAGACAGCACAGTGCTTCAGCCAAAGAAGTGGAAGATTGTGCTCTCTTCCAAAACTCATCTGCTCGGTGCACAGAGTGCATGAGTACACTCTGTATGTGCATGGTCTGTCAGGAATTAACTGAGTATCCTGTCTAATCAGGACTAGTAGAGACAAAAGCACACAGGCATCCCATGCTTCTCTGCTACTGATTGTAATAACTGTACTAAACACAAGCCTAAGGCCCTGCATGGTCTCATCAGACTGCTACCCAGTATCATTCAACTCTCCATGCCGAAAAGAAGTAATAAAAATGAAGGCCACAGACACAGAAAGCAAACAACATGAGCTTCGATGGGTAGCCTTTAAAATCAGTAGAAGCTGCTCCTTCACCTCTGTGCTCCTGATACCTGCTCTAATATGATTTCAGAGGAAGGAAAGAACAGATCAGGAGTGCCAGGTTGCCACTGAGCACACGACTGGCTTTTAAGACCAAGTCCCTTACTTAGCAGCCTTTCCTCTTGAGATATTTTAAATTAAAATCCAAGCTGATATAGGAAGAGATTACATCCCACCCTCTTTATTGAACGGAGGGAGCCAGCATTCCTTCCTTCATTAGGTATGCACTACGTGGATTGCTTGTGAGATTCTCCTTAGTGCCAGAGGTTTGTGCCAAAGAGCAGTTTAGTAAATCCTCCTCCTTGAGGCCAAAAGGCTGAGTGTAAGAGAGGGGACAGATTTCTAGCTAAAATTACATTCACCAATAAAGCTCATGAGAGGTCAAATTTTACCATAACTCACTCTCTCCTCAGTAACTGATTTCCCCGTCACTGGGGAAGGAGCAGAAGAAGGAGAAAAATAAAATGTGTTTGTCTGGGAGCCCTAAGGGCTTGCAGTGCTGGAGGTGCAGAGCAGGTTTCTGGATTCTCATTTATCAACCTTAAAAGGGATGGAGTGATAAATGCACAACCGGGCCTTTAATATTTTATGCAGGTGCTAAAGCGACTTAGCTGTCACCTTCAATACATCACCAGAGGCTGGTACACCAGCTTTCGTCACTCCAGGCTGGGAGTTTTTACAATTTCATTTCTATTTCCGTCTCTTCACATATTTCCACGTATATGATACTAGGTGTAACATATAAGAATCCATTTTCCCCAAATGATCTCCCCATTCTACCCGTTCCCCTCTTTAACCACATTTCTCAAGCAAGAAATAATACCATGCGTTTGCTGAGGACTTGCACAATTTTTGAATCTTATTCCAGAGGGGCAGAAAGCTGAAATTGCTTTACGTTCTTGCAAAGGGTTAAGGTCCCATTCTCTGGGAGAGAACTTCCACGTCCCTCCCTTTAACAACAAGCCACAGTCACCTACACAGCAGAATGATTTACAAGGGACTCAAAACATCGGCGCACCTCGAAATCCTCCCTCCAGGAGAGTAGTGGCCCGTATCCTCTTCTGCCCACACCATTCGTATTCTTCAAAGCGGTTGCCGTTCTCGTTCTCGATGTCTACAGAGTCATCCTCGGTCATGCACGAACCTTCTCTCTGCACAGGGGAAAGCGGGGACAGAGCGTTGAGACGCATGAAATAGCACTGCAGGGTTAACAGGGTGAGATAGAGAAGGAAAGCTGGACTGTTCCAGGGTAGGATTTGCTCCCCTCCCCATTCCCAGCCATCTGAGCTCAGAAGAAAATGGGAACTATAAGAGCATGACAACCTTAAAGTCAAAAGAAGTGGCAGGGGGTCATCAGTTTTGCACAAGCAAAATTCAGCTCTGGTTCCTATGACACTGGTGTGCATTTCAATGTGTTCCCATACTTGGAGCACGGTTTCCCTATTTATCATGTAAACAACAGATTCCTTTGATCCCCAGCACTGAGAAGCTCCCAGGCTACAGGAGCTGACAAGGAATACTCTCCTAGAGCATTATTGAGGCACACTGATCAAAAGACACCTGTCTTTACACCACGCACTTCTTGAGTTGACAAGAATGAATGAATTTGTTATCTCTGCTATGGGCTTTCCCTGCAAAACAAGCACAGAAAGCCCTATGACAATTCTCTTATCCCTGATGCTTTTTCCTCCTTATTCCTTGCTGTCTTTGGAAAAAACAGCAAGAGAACAGTTCTGCTTGAACACAATTTTTGGAGTAAGGTGTTCATGAAACATTTACAAGTGCCAGCCTGTTACAAAAGAATCCAACAAAAGTAATTCCAATGCTGTCGCCGTGCAGAAAGAACTCTTCTTGCTGTGCTGCATAGGAAGCATACAGCACTATAAAAGGCTTCACACACTCAACAGCTCTACACTTACTTTCTACAACTTAGACTTAGTGAAAGAGTGCAGGAAATAAATGCAGAACAGGAGAAAATCCAGAAGAATCCACCTTCCAAGACAAAGGAAGTGACTACAGATCTCAGGGAGACAGTTAGCATTGCCTGCAAGCTCAACAGTGTTAGTGTTTGCCCCATGTTAAGTCAGACAAAGCTGAGAGTAAGGAGAAGGGAATGGCAGCTGGCGATCCTGCTGCGCCTCTACCTTTGCAAGGCATTGTTCCACATGCCTACTCATCTCCTCCTCGGATCCTGACAGAGGTCGGTTGCAGAGGGGACATACCTGCCCTTCGTCTTGCTTCCTCCGTTTCATTTTTCCAATCCGAGCTGCATGGACAAAGCAAGGAAAGAAAAAAAAAAAAAAAAAAAAAAAAAGGAAAAATGAAGACATGTCAAGTTTGTAGATCCATCCATTCCTTACATAGAAACTTGCTCTGACCACAGAAAGCCACTGCAGTGCCCAGAAAGCCTCAGACAAATTATGTAAGACAGCCACTTTCAGGAGTGTCTCCTGCACGCCCTAAATGATTCCTTCCCAAACTGTCACAAGCAGATCCTAGTAGCAGGTAGCATTTATGGAAAGATCCTTGCTGTGAAAAACACAGCACCCACCCCAGACAGCTTCTGTCTCTCCCTGTTATTTTTATTTCACTGTTCTAATGTATAGAGAAACTGCCTTCTTCAGGGCATGTTCTGGGAAACAAACATGTTAGGATTCACGCTGATTAGAAAAAGCAGCCAAGGTAGCCTGTTGCTTAATATGATCTCTGGTTAATTTGAGCCATCGTTTAATGTGATCAAAACATCTGGAACCAAATCATTTGCATTAAATAGAACTTCTGTCCTTTATTATGATGGCTTTAGGCAGGTATTACGGAATAACTCAATCACTGGCTGCAGGAAAGTTCCTATTTAATTAATATGGAAGGTCAAAATTCTGAATGAGAGACAAGGAAAAGCCCAAGGAAAGCCCGTGTGATAATGAGAGATGACACCACCAAAAAGCTGCAGAAATCGTTCCTGACATGGTGAGTGCTGCAGCGTGCTCTGAAAGCCTTGTCCACAAAACCTGTGAGATAACAGCTCTCCGCAGCCAGAGACAACAAGAAAGGTGCTGCAACACCAGGACCACACCAGGGTACAGGAAAGTTTGTGTCAACTGTCCCCTATGGTACATCAGATTCGTGCATTCACAGCATCGTGTGATTGATGAAGCTGGAGCTGAACACACCACCACAGCCTTGAAACAGGGCGTTATTGTTGGCTTTGCTGGACATAAGAATCTCTGGGTTTGGATGTGCTTTCCCACCATTCAGAATTAGGAATATTCACCCTCCCCTACGCTCTGAAACTCCACTATTATGAAGGCTTCGTATATCTGGAGCACTGCTTTTCCTCACTGAAAGCAAGCAGATTTGCCAAAAAAAAAAAAATTCCTTCAAAACAAACCTGTGCTCCTGGCATCATAAAAAGGATTCTGCAAACACAACTCTCCTACAATAACAGACAACTCCAACCAGAGCAGGAGTGTCTTCGAGACCCAGTTCTTTGAACAGCAACAGCTCTCTTGAGTAACTGCACACTGCTTTCATCTGGTGTTGGAGTTTCACAGTCTGTACTTCAGTATTTTTGGTAGGATATTTTGGTAGTTTCCCTTCTACTTTATCTACTTAAGCCAGTTACTTTATCTGCAGCGTCAGCTTTTACTCCAGAAGTAAACTGCATGACTTCCAGTCAATACAAAAGCAAACGATAATCACCAAGTGTTATTTCAGAGCGCCCAAATGAATTATACTCCACTTCTAATTAAAACAATGACCCTAAAGTCTTCTGTTTTATCTCCCCACTTGGAAGCCCCCAAACCAACCCCTCCAAGCTGGCACAGCACTACCACCAGGGATAGTGTTTAACCATACTCTGTCTGGTTTGTACTTCAGTGCAGAAGAGCTTTCTGAAGTTCCGGGTCAGGGAGCACCTACACCCCCTAGCAGGGCTTCTTCCCTGAGAGAGCAGGCTGGAAACTGACTCAGTTGTATTCCAGTAAACGCTCACCTGACCAGAAAAAAATAAAATGCAGGAAGACAGACAGCAAGCCTTCTCTATTCTAGCGACAGGCACCTGTCCCTCAGCTCACCCTGTTTTTAAGCAGGGAAATGGAGGGAAGGAGCATTAAAATATTCTGGTAGGTCTCAGCAGGTGGCTCCTTGGCGAAGCAGCCCTCGTAGTTCCAGTGTCACAAGTGAAAAAGCCACTGGACAGAAGAAGTGTTGAAACCAAATCCCCTGCCATTTTCATTCTGTGGTCATTAGTGGTGCCCACAGAGGCCCGGTGTGCCCCTGGCTGACAGCAGAAAACCAAAGGGACTGCTGCAGCCTCGAAAGCCCATCCCAAGCCACATTTTCCATACCCGACACGCAGCCCTGCCATCACTTCCAATCAGCACGGCAGAGACAGAGCGGCCCCAAAGGCAGGGGGTGATTGTGGTGCTGTCCCAAAGGGGAACCGCTCAAAAGAACACGCAAGTAAGACCACAGGATTCTTAATTAGTGTTGATAGATGCGATCATTTCTAATTAGCTCACTAATCCCTCTCCCCTACACTCCTGTCGCAGGAGCTTGGGAGAAGAAAGAAGAAAAAAAAAAAAAAGTGATTCCCTCTTGTAATTCAGCGAGATAAAAACACAGGCAGAAGCAGTCTGGGCTTCCAAATCTCTGCTGCCTTCCCACAGGAGGGGAGAGAGGAAGCCAGGCCACCCTCCGCAGGTGGAAGGGACCGAGTGTCTTTCTCACAGCTCTTCCCATCTAGGCTTAAGAATTATTAATGCTTGAGGATTAGGTTATGCTCTGGCTCAGAAAAATTTCCTGGAAGGAAAGCTAATGGGTTTTAGTTTTCACCGCCACGCTTCCCAGTAAACAGAAATCCACCCTCAGGATGGGGCTGTCTAATTACACCCAGAGTGCTCTTCCAGTGCATCCAGCAGTGGACACGAGACAAACCTCTCCTGCAGCATCCAAGGAGATGATTAAGTTACTCGCAATATCTCTTATGATTCCCTCCACCAGTTTGAGTGGTCCCCCGAGTCCCATGCAGACATCATTAGCAGCTCCTGCAATGGCAGGCCAATCAAATTAAATGGAAACATTTTGGTCTCCTTTCCAGTGAAAATCACCTAGCTTTGTCCCTCCCCCACCCATCACCAGCTACTGGAGCACTTGGTGCACTTGTGGTGAATTGAGTGCAGCAACAAACCACAAAGATCACTGTAAGGACCCATTCTGCAGCTCTACTGAGAATGCCAACTTCGCAAATACCCCTAAATGTGAATCAGAGATATTTAGGCATGAGAGGTAGCACCTGCTCTCCACAAATCTACTACAAGAGTATTGAGGAGTGTTTACACTTTGTTGGACTCATCACAAAAGGCTTCTGTGGCAGATCGACTTACCCAAGAACATCTGATCCAAGGGAAAAAAGACAGCTATGACAGAGTACAAAAAGCCACCTCAAGAACAAGCTAAAGCAGGAAAACAGATGGTCAAGAACAAATCTGTTTCAGACCTCGTGTATGATTTGCTGCTCATCTGCCTGAGAGAGAACACTAAAGGCCAAATTCACAGAAGGGTCTCAACAACACAGATAATTTTCAGCAATCTTCCATCTGACGCTGTTCTCCAAGGATGGCACAGACTTGACCTGCTGAATCCATGCTCTGGTACACTAATCATAACTGTGCCTCTAAGCAGACCTGCAGCATTAAACTCCTTCAGCATCAATTTACAGAGTGGCTTCAAGTTTTGACTTTAGCAACATGGGAAAAAAGGCAAATGAACAAAATGCCTTCTTTAACATATAGCTACACCAGGAATCAGCACCTCATATGCCTGAGTTCACAAGGACACAACCCCATGAAGTGAGGTTAGCACAGGTGAAAGGTGCTGGATTAACTCACTGAGGCTGACAGAGAACTTCAGATACAAAAACACTCGACCAAGTGTCTTACAGACAACATTAATCTGCTGCTCCAGAGCTTACAAATGCCTTATGCACAGAGCTTACAATTATCTTATGTACAGTCCAAGGTAAGTTAAAGGTTTGACTTACAGAATCAGAATTCTGGACCAAGTATATGTGAACCACATAAGGTCTTATCTACACTGCACCCAGGCTCAAAGACATCCCTTTCTCTACCTTCTCTTTCCTTAGCTCCTGTTCTGTCTCAAGTGACCACACTGGGATGAAACATATCCAGAAAATTTGAGAGGCCACTCAGGCACAAAGAGAAAGGGCAGCTGAGATCTGAGTCAAGGACTACGTGGCAGAACAGCAAACACTGCAGATCCCTCTTTACAGGGGGAGTTTCCAAAAGTGATCCTGAAGCTCAGCTGGTAAGAAACTTTACAGAGACAGCCAGACAAACAGGTAACAGCAACATTGAGAAGAACCTTTAAAATATAATAGAAAAAAAGTGAAATAGTAGGTTTTTCTTTAACATAAGTTTGCATTTTCTATATGTTATGTGTCAATAAGAACATGAAGCAGAATGCCAGATGTCTTGGACAAGTCCTACACATTTTTTGTCCATGCAAACCAATAGGAATAAGGAAATAATTCTCACAGAACAAACTATAAAACTGTGTGATTGATAAGAAGCTTGTTAAAATATAGATAAATAAGCTTTTTTTTCCAAAGCACTCAAGCATTCTCCATCTGGAACGATATTGGTTAACTAACTAACAATAACATGGTGAAGCTTATGAGTAAGTTATTTTGGTACAAATGCGGAGGAGCAAATGAGAAAGCAGGCAGAGTTCAGTGGTCATAAGCACTGACAGCAGCTGAATACACTATCCAGCCACCCAGCTGAATGCTCATCTAACTGCTCAGGACTGAGCCAGGTATCACCATGGGCACATTCTGGGAATAGTAATAATCAAGAGTCATAAAAAGATAAGGTGAGGAGGAGCCAACTCTAATCCATCTTGACCAAAGCACTTCAGCTAATATTTCTGCATCCAGCTCCCTAGCTCTGGACCTAGTCCTGCTAAGGTACACAAGACAACAATTACAGTTATAAGTGTATTATTTAATCAAAATGCCCTCATCTGGATGATAACTGTTAGTTTTGTTCACTGTACTCCTAAAAAGAGTAGAAGGTTCAGCGAGAGCAATGCAAATGCCATGCAGAAGTAGCAGCCTCCCTTCAGCTGACAAGCCCCTTCAGTTCACAAAAACAACCCAAAGCAGGTCCCAGACTGCAGCACATACTGACTGTGCTGCAGTCCTGCTTCAGGCTAAAGTCAAAAGCAGAAAGCACCGCTGAGCTGGTTCAGCAGAACATGCTGTCATCAAGAGCTTTCATTCATCCTGGAGGACTCCACAATGCCAAGAACCTCACAAGCCTCGTTCAGACTTTTTTTGTTAAATAAAATTATTGGCCAGAAAAAAGGCAGAAGGTGTGAGCTTAGACTGAACTACCCAAAAATGATAAAGAAACAGTTTGACATCACTGACTCCAGAGACCTTTGTCACACAAAACAAGTCATTGCAGAGTAACACCTGAGTGTTTCAGTCATCTGAAGTCTGTGTCAGGAAAGGGGACTGCCTGCAAACAGGCAGCTCACTGCGCTCATCTAGCAGTGTGGATGTGAGCACACATGCCAACAATTATGTGATATTGATACAAGGCAACTCATCTCTTTGTTGTATGACTTGACAGACCTTCAAGAGCTTCTGGCCCCCAGGGTGCGTATTTGAAATTCTCCAAGCCGCCTCTGAATTCAGTTCAGTATTTCTTATCAAAGACATTGGGTCAGTAACTTAATAAAACTTCAACTTGTTTAAGAAGACTATACAAGAAGTAGTACTTCAAATGTAAGCAAACTACTCCAGTACTGGTACAATATAAAGCTTTTTGTTATTTGGTTAAGATGAAGGTTTTTTTTTTTTGTTTTTTTTTTTTTTTGTTTGTTTTTTTTTTTTTAAGTTTTTTTAAAACCCCACTCTGTCCTACACAACCACAGCAGGAAGCTCAATATTAACGCATCACCTGGCAGCTTAAGCACCTGAATGGCATCTGAACGCTGCAATTTGCGTTGGCTACAGGCCATACAAAATACACGGGTCACATATAGGCCATAGAAAAATCAGATGACCAATTATTGCTACTCTGTACAGGAAAGTTCCAATTCCTCCGAATCTGGGAGAAGCATTTCAGCTTCAGCCTAAATAATAAAGTTTTTCTAAATACTAAAGCACTTCTCACTAGATAACCTTGTCTACTTGCTGTTATCAACACGCAGAAACTCAAGCATAAAAGTAACGCACAGGCTGCAACCAGGAGTTCAAGAACCCAAAACCACGGAAGGTGACGTCAGATACAGCAATGCTCACACCGCAACTTGGAAAGTTTCCTCAGGACCCGGGCAGTGCCACAGGAGCCTGAGTGCACAGGGTTGCCGCGGGTTCGTGCGGGGACCCCAGCGGCAGAAAGCGGGGCCGGGCCGCTCCGGGAGGATGGAGGAGGGCCCGCACTCACCGTTCAGCCGGGTCTGCCGGTTCGCTCGCACCCGCAGGAAGGTCTGCAGAGGGGAGACAAGAGCGGACACGTGTCAGCGCCCCCGGCCCGCGGCCGCCGGATGTCAACAGCCGCCCCCGCCTCGTAAACAAGGCCCGGTCCCCCCGCCCCGCGCATCCTCGGGACGACGCACCGGCCCCGGGCCCGCCCCCCCCCCCCGGCCCAACTCCAGCACCCACCTCTTCCCGGCCCCCGCCGCCGGGCCCCCTCCTGCCGCTCTGCATAGCCGCGGGCGGCCGGCGGGGCGACGAGGCGGCGGCCCCGGGGCGGCTCCCCCCGCGTGGCCCGGGATGCGGGCGGATACGGCGCGGCCCGGCAGGCGCCGCCGATCAGCCCCCAGCGGCCGCCGCCATGTTGGCCCCGGTCATGTGACCCGCCGCCGAGCGGGTGAAAGTTCACCGGGAAAGCGGCAGGGAGAGGAGAGGAAGTTCCCATGGCAACCGACAGGCGGCAGCAAGGTTCGGCGAGCCCCGGCCAATCAGAGCTCAGCGGCGGTAGGAAACTAGGGAGGTTTGGCCAATTAGAGATGAGGGGCGAGTGGGACTCCGGCGTGAGTGGCCAATGAGAGATCGGGTGCAAGTAGAACCCAAGGGCAAGTGGCCAATCAGAACCCAGGGGCAATTGGCACCCTGTGCTACAGGGCCAATAAGAGCCCAGGAGCAACTGGACACAAGGGGTCCTTACCCAATAGGGCGCTTACTTACAAAATCAAAGCTGCCGATTGTGGGTTCTACCCTTTCAATTAATTAAGCTGTCTTTCAGGAGGCGCGCTCACCACTGAGGCTTTGGTGGAGGAAGGCACTGAGCAAGCCAGCATTCCTGCAGCGCTCCTACTCACAGATCTCCTTCTTCCCCAAGTGTCCCCGTGGTAAATAAGCATGAGGACTAAGAAAACCAAGCCGTAGGGATTCTGAAAATGTGTACTCCAATGATTCCCGTCTTAGCATGCTGCTAATACAATGAATATTTGCTATTATTAAATCCCCACAAGAGGCATTCATAATACTAGCACACCTCTGCATACGGAAAGCTAAATTTTGCAGCTTTAAAGTCACCACGAGAGTCTTCTGCTCTGCTTCCTGAATGTTTCACTTGGTAAGCCAGGAAGAATGAATTCTCATTCGTACTGTGACTTTATTAAGGATAGGCTGAGGCTTTACACAATCCTGGCACCCACTCTGAGGTCCCTTTACATTGCCTGAGGAGCATAAAGCAGCCAGCATAGGCATAAATGAAAATCAGGCCCCAGAGGTCTTTTCTCCCTGCAGTGCAGACTTACAGCTCCCATTACGCATTTGCATTAAGGGCTGCAACCCTCCATAAAATATACTCACAAACTTAAAACACATTAGAGACTCACTAGACTCAGCACATAGAGGGGGCTTTTGCTGAGAATATTTGTCCTCAAGTATGACATAATAAAAATTTATAGGAACAGAGGACTGCAAGGGACCGCCAAGTTCACAGAGATTGAAATCTGGAGAAATGGGGGGGGGAGGGGTGCTCCTGAGCAAAGGGGGACATTGCAAAAGGCAATTGCACACCCTTTTGGAAAGAACATTATTTATTTATTAGCCTTAAAAAAGCAAGCAGGGAAGAGAGCAGGAATGCCTGTATTAGGCATTTCCGTATCTTCTGTGGGGTTTGCTGCTCTTACTTTGTACCAGGTCTCATATGAGGGTGAAGTGACCGTGATATGACACAACATTAGAACTGAAGGGTACCTTAGAGTATGTAGCAAACAATGGAGGATCTGTCTTTATTTGGTAATATAGCCAATAAATAGGTCAGAGAACAGAATAATGGGCAATAAGCGCACATTTTTTGCTGCTATTAATAGGACCTATCTTCTAGAGCACGTGCTTTAGTTGGGGCTGCTGGGCTGGGCACACAGAATGGTCATCAGCTCTCTTTCTGCTGATACTGATGCAGACTGGGCTGCTGTCGAGTGGCTGATGTATAACGGCTTGACCTTGGGCACAGGACATCACTGTGAGGGACACTGGGCCATGGACATAGGACAGGGTGTAGGGGTAGAATGGCACATAGGGTGGTGGATTTATGCCTGACACAAATACAGCTGTAGCCCGCCCAGCCTCTCCCCATGGTAGCTGAAGGCATGCTCGGCACTATGCTAAAGACTACCATTATTTTTCCTGTTGCCTTTCAGAGCTTTGTTGAAGCTAGTGGCTGAGCACACGCTTGCAGCCAAACAGTGTGGATGTGTCTTGAGCAGGAGTCAAGTGTGCCAGCCTGCCCACAAACCACAGACAGATCCCCAACAAGCTGAGCTGCACTCTGGCTGTTGCCTTCTTCTTCCTTTCTTGCTCTGTCTCCCAGAGCTTTTACTCAGTGTGTCACAGCAGGTCTAAACCTGCTACTCCTCTGGGTAGAGAATTTATTTATTTATTTATTTATTTTATATAACCTGCAGGGTTATAAAACATGGTGGCACCGCTCTGCCAACATTTAAGTTGGAATCACAAGTCCGTTTGCTGGGCAGCAGTACACCAGTGAAATGGAGAGCTCTGGCCTGCTGCAGGCTGACATCATTCACTGCTTTCCAAAAAAAAATCACTTCTCTGAAAGTTTCACAAAGCACGGAGTAAGTAATGACAAACACAGCCATGGCAACGGCAGAGATGATGAACGTAACGCAGCAGAAAGCTCTGCGAAGATTTAAAGCTATGACTGAAAGCCAGCATTGGGAGGACTGTGCAGACAAAAGCACGCCTGCGTGGCCATGTGAGGGACAAGGTGCTCTATAGGCATGCGGAGCTGATGGAGAGCTGCTGGGGCGAGCTGGCTCCCACATACAGTGGAGAGCAAGGACGGTGCCTGCCTACTTACCTGGTATCTGTCTGAGTGATGGATGTCATCCGAGGAGTGGGGTGATGCTGTTGGAGAATCTCCTTCCCGCTTGATTGAAGCCGACAACAAAATTGACTGTGAGAGAAAGGAGAAATTCATGCTGTGAGCATCGTCCAATGCTCTGCCCCTGACTAAGCTGCCCTCAAGGGCATGGGGAGCAATGTGAGGCTGGCCTTGTGCTTCTCATGCTGTGCATCGCCTGCCCTGCCTGGGGCTGGGCTGCGGGGCTGTGGCCTGCTATAGCCTAGTGCAGTGACATCAGGCAACAAAAGGACAACTGTCCTTCAGACAGTGACAAGTGATCCCATTGGAAGAGGCCGGTGGGTCTGCTGGCTGAGCAACAGGGTCGAGCTGATGCTATTTGCAACATGCACTGCTGGTTTTAGAAGCACAGCCCAAAGGGGACGGCCAGCTGAGCCTGGATGTGCAATTTAAAGTGATTCAGCGGATGAGAACTGCCTTAAAAATTTGCTTTCTCTCCTATCAACCGTCCGCTGCCCCATCTGACAGATGAGCTACAAGAATGCATCTTTGGACCACAGAGGTTGCCCAGCCCGTGTAGGAAATGAAATAGCCACACCAGTGAGTGCTGCTCAACGTGTGCCCCTCCTGTGCTGGAGAGCATCTTGCACGTGCAGTGTCAGAGCACTGCACAGCCATGCACTGCCCTGCAGATGCCATGGGGGATCCAGCAGAGTCCCCTGGTTAAAAAAAAACACCCCAGAAATCCACAAAAACCATATGGCAATGCAGCATTGTGCTGGCATGGAGCAGTGCCAGCATGTGCTCATCTGTCTCTGCAAGTTGCACTAAATCTCTCAGCAGCTTTGCATTAAAGCTCTCAGCACCTCGGCAGCACAGCCACCCTTCATTCTGTAACGATGCTATTTATTTTAATAAGTAGCACATGAAAAAAAAAAAAAAAAAGGCCTTTTAGAAGGTTAAAAAGATCAGTGATATTTGAGACCTAAGAAATCGCTGATAAACTTCAAGTCAACAGTAGCTAAGTCCAAATTCTACATGCAGTGAACCTGAGAGGAGAAATTGCTGCAGGAGTTTGACAGCATTTAAAAAAATGTATGCTGAGTTGTGAGTCAAGTTTATTATTGGAAGAATTAGAGGGGGAAATCCAATTTAAAATTCTAATTTGAAATCGAAATTAACTAAACTAGGTTAAATGTAGCACAATACGTTGTAAAAGATATACACTGTAAGCTTGGCTCTCCAGATGTTTGTTTCCAGGAATCAGCTGGCAAGATCCAACAATAAATGACTGCTCGGAGATGTGTATGTTTGCGAAGGGAAGTGTAGATATCATCTGAATTGGACAGGTCAAGTGTGGTGACAACATTATTAAAAAGCATAATACCTTGGAGAAAGGCAAGCTTTCCAGCAACATTTGCCTCTGGGCTGAAATGAAACATGAAAAAATGTGCTTTTTTTTTTGGAAAGATACGAGCAAGTGGAAGGATGACTCAGCACACAAATCCATTTGGTCAGCAGGAGGCAATCCCTGGGCTCTGACAGCCCTCCTGGAGAGGAGAGCAGGGCAGTGTGGGCATTGAATAGGGCTCCAGAGCAACATCCCAGTTGTAGCAGTGTTGCTGCCCTTTCCCCACTAATAAACCAAGCACGCGGAGCTGGGAGGGTTAAATACATTTTGTCTTCCAGTGTAGTCTAGAGAAGGGGAAAAACCACCCACCTCCCCATTCTTTGGCGACAGACAGACAGATCCTTCCCACCTCCCTCTCCCCCCTCAGCCTCCTGGTAGCTCTAATCCAATATTATTATGTGAAAAATGGTTGGGCTAGCTATGGAGACAGTAAATTAAACGTTATGTATTAGTTTTTAGCGTGTGGTCCCGGGAAGAACGCCGGCCCCATTTATTCCACAAACCTCCTGAGCACCATGGCGATGACCTCTGGAAAAACGCAGGGCTAAACTAATCCCAAAGATGTCAATCTTGGGGCCTCTTCTACATACACTTGCAGTTTAGATTAATAAACTGTCTATTTTTAAATTGTGTGCAAGCACTTCAATTCTAAATACCTCGCCGGCATGTTAAACACGGCGTTAGTGATGCCAAGTCACACTTCCACTTTGCTGTTAGGAGGCTTGACTTCATCTGTTTTTCTTGTTTCCTGGCGATGTGGCACACTCTGCCTTTTGGCCCATGCTGGTGGGACAGCGTGGGGCAGGGGAAAGGCAGTCCTAAGGTCTGTGGCATTGGGTAAGGTGCTGGAGGAAAAGGTGACTTCACAGAATTGTTCAAGTTGGAAGGGACCTTAAAGGGCATCTAGTCCACTAATGCAGTTGGCCAGCTTCTCTGCCTTCCTGATTTTGGCCTCTTTGCCCTGAGACTGTTGCACTGGGGCTGTTTCCCAGTGGCTGTGGCCAAGCTGGTAGCACTGAGCAGAGTAGAGGCAGTGATAGAGCCCTGCTCCATCTCACTACCACCATCTGGGAAGACAGTTGTAGAGGTGAAGGCAGCTTTGCATTTTTCCTCCAGCCCTCTTCCAACTTTTCACTCCAAAACAGGAGCTGCTTGCTGCCTTGGTTGCCAGTGTAAGATTGGAGCTACTGGGAGAGAGCATCCTCATCTCCTGCTGCCCCTTCCCTGGCAAACCACAGCTCCCCGCGTTGAGGACACATGTGTGAGCGGCTGTGCAGCCTCATATTTCTCCCTCCCCTTTAAATCATCTCTCCATTGGGTAAAGGCACTCTCTGCGGAGGTTATAAACCCTGAGAGGATCAGCCTGAGCATTACACCTGGGGCAAGCTAAATAAAAAAAGGTCACCGGCGCTTTTTAAACATGGACAAAAAAGCAGTAAAATGTGTTTGGAAAAAAAAATCTGGCATTAAATCATGACTTTTTGCCTGGCTCGCCTCATTAAAAGTGGCCTTTTGGAAGGTAAAATTATCATTGTAAGTGATAAGATCTTTAAGAAAATAATTCACGGCTTCTTCACCCTTTAATATGATAGCCGCCACCGGCTAATTTTTTTCTTAATGGCAACGAGGCCATCAATCTTGTCCAAGCCATGCGCTCGCTCCTTCCTGCGGCCCCTCCTGCTGTGCCTCTCCTCGTTTGGTGCTGGGCAGGTTTGGCACCAACCAAAGGTGCATGGCATTGCCTCCATCACGCAGGAAGGGATGGAAGCTGGACCCAGCCCAGCTGACATCCCGCTGCCTTTCAAGTCTGGTCATTCGAGGGTATTAAAGTGCTGGGCTCCGGCTTTCTGACAGCCCTGGAAAAACACGGGGAGTCTATTTTTCTTAAACAATCCATCACCGCTGCTGTCAGCAGAACAAATACCCCAACCCTGCTTTCTATGTATCTATAACCTTTTTTTTATTTTTATTTTTATTTTATTTTTTTTATTTTGGCACAAAGTGTTCCCTGCTTGATGCATTCGGCTTTAACTCTGCCGCCTAAATAGGTACTTATCACTTAACATGGAGGTGATGGCTTGACATGTTTTCTGTCTCCTGCCCTCCCCTCCACGGTAGGGAAGCCGTCAAAGTGTTGCTAATAGCTGTTATCACTTGGGAACTGTAACCCAAAAGCAATGAGTGATACCAGGCCTGGCTGCGATTTTCCTCCTTCCCTCTGCTCACCATTTGTTATGCTGCTGCTGGAGGATCCCTGACAAAAAGATGCTACTATTAAAGCTGACTTTCCTAGAAGCTTTTGGAGGGTCCACATTTGCTGCCAGGCAAGCGAAAGGCGAAATTATGTGGTGGCTTTTATCTGGGTGGGATGGAACTGGGGATAGAAAGCTTCAACATGGGAAGGATGTGAATAGTGAGCAGAAATAACAGTGTCAGCAGGGAGCTGCTGATTTATTTCGGTGATGTGACTGCACAGGATAGGGGACCCCTTCACACTGAGCCACCAGTGGCTACAGCCAGGATGGAGGGGACAGATCTGTGCTCTGGAGCTGGGACACGACCCCCAGACCAAGTCTGTGTGTGCTCCTCCTGCCCAGTGCTGTGTCTCCAGCACAGATGTTCAGCGCAAGCAAAGCGAGGGGCTTTGTTCAGCGCTGATTTGTGTTATGGCACATAACCTCTTGGAGGTTTGTGTTGGAATGGCTCTGGTATTCGTCACCCTGAGCTGGCAGCCGGCACGCACCCGAGGTAATTTCCCCTCCTTCACAGATCTGTAGGCTGTTCCCATGTCCCCACCTTGGCTGCAGCCTTGCCACGGCATTCAGATTTGGCTTTTTAATCCTTCCTCGTAAATTGGTGTTGCACAGGGAGGAGCGTGACGTTCCCGAGCCCCTACAGCGAGCTCATGACACAAGAGAAGGAGTCAAAGCCCTGGGGCCCCAACACTGGCCCCTGCCCCTACCACCAGACATGATATGGAGAAGTCAAATGATCGTGCTAGAAATTTCATCTCCAGTCAGGCAGCTGGCAAGGGCTTAGCACAGCCGTTCTGTCAGGGTTTCAGGCTCCAAATCTCGCTTGTTTCAAAGCTCTTTCTCCTTGGAGGGCTTTAGTGGTCAAATTTCCCTCTAGGTGCTGTAATTCTCTCTCGAACTGCTCAGCCAAGCTGTAAAACTGCAGGGTGGGTGGGGGATCACAGCGGAGGTCTGGGAGCACCCGGAGTGTTTGCTGGTGGTGGGAGCTGGCACATGAGCTGGGCTTTGGTGGGAAAGGCAGTCTGCCGTCATGTATGGCCAAGAGGAAGACGCTGAAATTTAGGGGGAGAGATCTCCCTAAATGTCCCACTGAGATGATGGAACAGGTTGGCCAGAGTGGTAATGGATGCCCCATCCCTGGAGACATCCAAAGTCAGGCTGGATAAGACTCTGGACACCTGATAGAGCTGTAGGTGACCCTGTTCATTGCAGAGGAGTTGGACTAATGGCCTTTAAGGGTCCCTTCCCACAATGCTCTGATTCTATACCCACAAAGGGAGAGTCATAGCCAGACAGTGGCAAAAAGCATTCTCAGGTAACTGGGAGCACATGGGGGTGCAAGACTCTCAGCATTACCTCTCAAGGACAAGCCAGAACAGTCAGCCTTTCTGTCCTGCATAGACACTCTGGGCTCAGAGAGGTCTGGGGGATGGCTGACTGGGACACATCTCCAGGACGTGCCCTCCCGAGTGGCTCTGCTGTTGGACTTCCCCATAAGGACCCAAAATGATGTGAAAAGTTGCTGACCAACACCCAGCTCATGTTGGGGAATGGGATTTCTTTTCCCATCCATCCTGATGTCTCAGGCTTGTCATCAGAGATGAGTGCCACAGGGAAACCAGGGCTCTCTCTAATTCCTATGCATGGGGAAGACCTCTTCTACAGCAAAGCAGGTGGGTTTTTAGCACTTTTTTTTGCACCTCTGCCTTCTGCAAAGCTCAGACACACATGCGGAGTTATCTGGGCTCTCAACAACATGAGGACGAAGGCACCACTTTGGAGCTCCCTATTTTGCTGCTGCATGGGCAGACGGATCGTCTGCAGTCCCCATCTCGCAGCCCTTGTTTGGCCGTCAGTGCCTCAGTCAGCCCTGATAATAGAAGAACTTGATACAATAATCCTGCATTCATCGCATCCCATGTTGAGTGATTGGATTTTCTTTGACATATTGCCATGAAAATTGACCCAGCACAGTGAGTGACAGCTCTTGAGGGCAGGAGAGCAGGAAGCGAGGGATGTGTGCTTACTGCTACCGGCAGGGAGAGATGTTTGCTGGGGTAACTATGGGGAAGGAATGGGCTTTCTCAAAGGGAATTTGCATCCCAATGGCTCGATGGGCACAAGGGAAGGAGCAGCGTTGACTCGCACCTCATCCTCTGAGCCCTGTGTGGTGACAGAGAGGACTTTAACACCGAGCTCACCCGGTGGTCAGCACATCACCTGTCCGTGCCACACAGGACTTGTCTCCCAGCAAAAACCACCTAGAAATAATGAATCCTCCTGGGCTGAGAGGCTTTCAAGCTCTCTGAGAAGGGAATGAAAGATTTCCTGATTTCACCCTCTCCCTCCCTGCTCTCGTGGCTTCTTGAAGTTAATGTTCTTAGGCCCAGACGTGACGGGCAAAGGGAAAAGATCCATGTGGTGACAGGGGACGATTGATCTCCTTTACATAGAACGACTCTCCAGTCCCAGTTTAATCCCCTCGCTCAAGGCAAATGGGATTCTTTGTCAATGGAAACTTCAAAAGCCCAGCCCTGCCGAGAGATGGACCTTCTTCTTTATCTGCTGGCTGCCACTCGTGTGGTGCGTATACCTCCAAACAGCTCATTTGTCTTTTCTCCCGTCCCTCTCCCTCACAGACGTTATTTCGCAGGTGCCTTTCACTCCTTCAGGATGCCCAAAGGCAACCACACTCCCTCTGGGTCTTTATTTTCTCTTTGGGTTTGAGTTTGCCTGGGACATATCCCAGGAGCACACAGCCTCCCAGCCCCTGGCCTGGGGGGTTGCAGGGAGTTTATGTGCTTGGCAAGGCAGTGACCCCCATGTTGCATTCCAGCTGCTCCAAAAGATATCCAAAGCATCCAGAAAAAAATAGGCAAGCAGGGCCTGGAGCTCCTTATCAGCCACTTGCCTGCACAAGCACTGATCCTTCCTGCTGCAGCATCATCTTAATGGCAGCTAATTAACAGATGATGCTGCAGCAGTGATGCTATGATGCATCTCGGTCCTGGCAAGCAGGGCTTGCTGAGCCGAGGGAATGGGAGGGGGAATCCATCTGAGAAATGGTCTTTTAGTGATTTGGGTGTGCTTTGATCCCTTAGAGGTGGCCCCGCTTCCCTCTTCCAGAGCTGGCATATGGCTCTGGCCCCTTAGCTCCCGTGCATGATTTCACAGTTTGAGCTCAGTATGCGTGTGATCAGCTCTCATTAGCTGTCATTAGACACAATCTGGAATCCTGGAGCCTTCTGGGTCCTTCAACTCCAGCGTTCCTCAGCTGCACGGGATGTGGTGGGGAACAGGAACAGGAACAGGAACAGGAAGAGCATTCCCTGTGCTAGCCTGGCTCCTGGGACGGTCTCACCCTCAAGGAACATAAAGTGGAGTGGGATGGGAAGGTGATGGGAAATAAAGTGCATCACTCCAGGGAAAAACATTTCAAGAGGTACTCACTTACCTTGGGGGTGCCTGCAGCCATAGCATCCTTCAGGATGGAGTTCTTACTGCCAAAAGAGAAGAGAAGGGGGTCAGAGCCACGAAAACACTGCAGTGGGCAGTGTGGGGAGCTCTTGGAAGGGATCTCCAACAGCAAAGAGCTCTTCCACCCTGGGGAAAAATGGGGAGTGAGCCTATAGGGGCAATGGGATGATAGCCACAGAGAAGGTGGTGAGCACTGCATGGGGCCGGGCACAATAAAACAGGAGGATGGGAAGCAGAGGGGGAATAAATCAGTGTAAAGAGCAGGGGAACGAAGATCCCCGCTGCTGCCGCCGCAGGCTGGAGTGATTTGTGAAGCCAGTCTGCTCCCCGTTTAGCAGGGAAGGAGGTCCCCGGAGCAGCGCTCCTCCTTGCCTGCCCTCGCCAGCGGGAGATGCTGCAGATTTAATAACACCTTCCCCCCTCCAGACAGGTTAAACTTGAAACAATTACATATCAAAGCCGACATGGCGGGGAGGCCCGCGCTGTAATTTTTTGGTTATTAAAGTAATCTCTCTCATGTAAATTCTCCCGCTAACATGCTGCAAACAGCATTAGGAAATAAATGATTTCCCCGTGATTCGATTTGTCAATGCAAAGCACCTGCAGCAGGCAAAAGGAGCTTGAAATATGCTGCCAGCCCCAGTGCCGGTGCTCACGGCGCAGGCTGGATGCTCTGAGCCTGGGGAGGTGATGGATGGATGGGTGGGCGGGGGGGGGGGCTGGGAAGGGAGGGATGGAATTGTGTTTAATAACAAAATTTGTATGCAAGCCTGCATCCCAGGCTAAGGATGAGTGATCGGCAGCCAGAAAGTATTAAAAAGCCTCGCTAAACAGATGCTGACAATAGAACAAGACATATCAAATCAGATCTACTTCAGGAGCATTAATACACGCACGTGCCCCCCCCCCTGCACGCGCCGTGCCGCACACACACGCTCCTTTCTTCTCAATCACAGCAATATGGGAGACATCAATAAATTTTTATGAGACTTTTAGAAGATCAACATGGTACTAGATGTGACAAAAAAGCAATGTGCCTGTCATGTTCGCTTTGTCGGGGACACTTTAGCCCCAGATGCCGAGCTGCAGTGGCAGCGGGGAGAAATTGAATTTGGCTGGCTTTAATCTGCCTTGATTTGGCAGATGGCTGGGTGTTATGAAATGAGAAGGGATGGAGGAAGGTGCTTTCTCCCGGGGCTACAGTCCCCTCCTCTCCCAGTGCCACCGCCCCACAGTGAGGTGACACCCGCGGTGATCTCTCCCCACTGTGTCACCCCAAATGGCAGAGCACTGCTCCAGGCCCTCAGGTCAGCGAGGTGCTGCTTTTGCATGAGCATACCCAGAATGTGATGCTCAGAATGAACAAGTACTGCGTGTTTTGAGGACATCACAACCATCATCCAGTGTGGCTGCAGCCTATGGTGTGCTGCCGATCCCATCCCACAGCCTGGCCATCTCTGGTCCCACAGCCCTGCCGCTCACTCCCATCTCTGCTCCCAGTACGAGCAATTGGGACTTCTATTGGGACATAAATGCCATCTTCAGCTCCCTCTTGCCTTCATGCCAGATAGAACTTGTTCAGCCTTGATGATGGCCAAAATTGAACTTGAAATCCTCCACCTCCCACGATGTTTCCATTTTCTGAATTGCCCAAAGTGTGAAACAACGCTTTTTTTCTTTTGTAAACCAATCATTGGGTTAAAGTAAAAACAAAAAACAAAAAAACCCAACAACCCACAACAACAACTCATTTCCTCCCTTTTCTTGTTAAAGGTGTTTAAAATTATTCCTTTCCAAGGCTGAGAGGAAGAATCTCATTAATTCCCCCCAGCAATGGCTGTAGTGCCAGGAAAGTGGAGCTCCCAGGAAGAGTTTCTTTGGTCAGTCAATGGGCTGCCATTGGGACTGATGGGGAAGGGCTCTGTTTGTACTGTTCTTCATTGGGAGGAGCAGTGCTGACAACCACTTTTAGATCTGCTCCACAGCAGTTGTGCTGGGAAGAGGCTGTGAGTGGAGGGGCCGTCAGCAAAGAGAAACCTTCCCGTCCATAAACACCACGGACAAATTAAAAATGGTAAAAGGGAAATCAAGACCTTTAAAGTTCAAACACTTTTCGGTGCCTTTTAAAGTTTTTTGCTCTAGGCTCTCGCAGAGAGCACAATCTTTGGAGACCTTGGGATTCTCTTTAATCACCCAGCCAGGCTGCAGTGGTCTGAAATGATTACACATTTACATAGTAATAACCCCAACACTCCCCACATTATTTCATGGCTAGCATATTTCCACTCAGCGAGTGATCCATGTGTTTTAAATTATAACCTGTACATAGGAAATTAGTTACTAAGTACGATATTCACAGGCTCTTCTGACACTTCTAATTAAGGTGATTTACACAGAATTATCCTACGAAATAAAAAAATGGTGTTTTGCTAGCTAATAAAATATAATTACTACCCACTTTTATAAGTTACAGTTAGTTTTAATCTATTTGGGGAATTGTTTGTCTAGTTCATTACAGCAAAACAACTTCTTTGCCTTTTAGGGACCCTCACCCCCCAAACTACCAAATAAGAAAGGCAACATCCTGGGAAGAGGCAGTACTTCGGGCAGCCTGGCTCTGCCCCGATGGCTTTGCTTCTCCAGCTGGGAGCCCGTGTTCCTGCCCCATGTGCCTGCACATGAGGAAGAGCTTCTCAGAAAGAGCGGTGATGTGCTGGCATCAGGGAGGCCCAGGGAGGTGGTGGGGTCACCGTCCCTGGAGGTGTTCAAGAGACGTGGGGATGTGGCACTGAGGGTCGTGGTCAGTGGGCATGGTGGGCTGGGGTTGGACGGGATAATCTTAGAGGCCTTTTCCAACCTTGGTGATTCTATAATTCTGTGATGCCATGCATGCAGATGCTTGGTGGCTTTGCAGGGATGCTTGTGCTCATGCCTCACAACGCTGCATAGAGGCCAGCACGCACCTGCTATTTCCCATCCCTGCATCTCATCCCCAAAACACCCTCACCAGCCCCCGGGATGTGACAGCCCCAGCTGGAGCGTGGCCAGCTCCCACGTGACATCCCACAAAGCCAGGAGCACGCTGCGGCCAGCTGATGTATTTCTGTACAAACAATCCAGTGGACATAATTTATTTCCAGCAGCTCGGGCTCCCAGCCTCGGGATGGAGTAGCAGCAGCAGAGCTGTGCAGAACAGATGCCGGCAGGGAATCAGCAGCAGCCGGGCAGAGAGGGAATTGGATTTTTGTGGACGACAGTTTAAATAAGTGGAAGTGTCACTTGAAGCCTAAATAAGGAAATGAGGGTTTGATTATATATTTTTTTAAACTACATGAGGCCAAACCCTCACCCAGCCGTGGGTGACAGCTCCCCGGAGCTGCCACACGTGATCTGTGCTGTCAGGGGGAAGGCACCGGGGTGTTTAACCTGCTCCAAATACTGATTTAAACATCCTCTGCATCCTATGGCGAAAGGGGCTGAGCGATGGAAAAAACAGCCAAAGCCCCCGGAGTGCTCTCCCAGTCGATATTTGCGAGCCCCAGTGCCCAGCTGGGAGGTGACACTGCAGCAGGAATGCAACAGGAACACAAACTGCCACGAGCAGGGGACCCCAGCACATGGTACCCTCTGCCTGCCCTGTCCCTGCTCGTGGGGTTCAGCAGGTTCTGGGTAATAAAGGGGTGATGCAGAGTGAGGGGTGGATGGAGAAACATTTCACTATTTGAAAAGGAGGTGGCTGGAAAGAGAGAAGTTGGAGGGAAAGGTCATGTGTGAGATTGATCCGGGGGGCTCTTTTCTACCTTGGCTGTAATGAGTGTTTAATTATTCCCAGCTCACATGGCAGTTCAGAAGAGGTTCTGCAGAAGGCATGCATCGCTCAAGGGAAAATCACCGGCCAAGGATTTATTTCTCACCTCTGGTTTCTGTGTATAGCCCCCAGTGCTGGGCCCCCTGTCGAGTGCTGCACCCCTCTGCCTCCTCCTCCTCCCCATGGGTCCCACAGATGGTCCCTGGGGTTAGGGTATGGGCTTTGGGTGCTGCCAGCCTGCAGCACTGCCAGGAGCACTCAGAGTGCCTTATGAGTGCTGCTTGGATGAGGAGATGTCTGGTCCACAAGAATGGAAATGCATTCACACCAGGTCATGGAGCTGCTCTGCATCCTTAAGGGATGTGCTAGGATGGGGAACCCAAAGCAGGACCAGGACAGGCACCTGCCCCTCTTGCCTGTGATCAATGTGCTCTGGCAAGGGGCAGAGACACAAATCAGAGGGAGGAGAAAGAAGATAAATCCACTACATCAACAGCACACATTCACTAGTTAATAAACAGCCTTCTCTCTTCATAAATTCCCTCCTTTCTCCCATGGTTCTCCACCAGTGAGAGTGGTAGGTGTGGACCTAGGATGCTCTGAGCCTTTCTGGTGCAGAAAAGATGGGTCTGGGTGGGCATCCTTCCCCCTGTACACACAAGGTGGGGAAGGAAGGACAGCCACGGGGTGGGTAGAGAGCATGACAAAACTCCATCCAAGCATGTGGGCTTTAGGTGGTGCTTGCAGGATATTTGGAGGGTGACAAAATGCCTCACCATGGCACAGCATGACAGCTGGTCCCACGTCCTGTCCAAGTGTCACTCACCAGCTGTTGCTCCCGGACACCTACAGATGTGCCTGCATCCCAAATTTGGCTACCAGATCCCTGAACTGTGCTCTGATACGGAGCAGTTCTACTAAGCAGCATGGGACACTCTGTATGGGGACGAGGCAAACCTTCCATGCTGTATGGACTGACCCCATCCCAGCAGTGTGATTTGCTGGGGGATAAGGAGCCCAGAGGCACCATCCCGCTGCACAGAGTATGGCCAGGCACTTAATAGCACCTGTCCCCAGCATCTCCAAGCGTGGATTTATGCCTCCAGGGGTCACCTCTGGCGAGACTCTAATAACATGACTTTATTAGCTTTCTTGTTCCTTCTTTAAGATACAGGAGCACAGGGGGAGGAGGGCAGTGACGGGGAAAAGGGGGGTGCATGGGGAGGAAGCGCTGCCCTGGCGATTCCCCTC